AAAAGTCATACAGAGCCAGTTCTGACAAACCAACAGCAGGAGGACAGGCTGCTGTTATGAGTGAACAGGAAGAGAAGGAAGGCTGATCTGTAGTTAGGAGAAGTTCAAAGCTGGGCCTAAAATCTATATGGTACCTGAGAGAGACAGAGACAAGAGTAGCTGCTTTGGCTCATGTTGACTTTCTGGTTCCCAGTCCCCGTGAGGCTGGGATGTATTTGGTGAGATTTTCCTGCATCTTTTCAATTATCCTTCAGCAGTTCTCAACCTGTGGGTCATGACCCCTGAAAATACATCCTGCATATCAGATATTTACATTACGATTCATAACAGTAGCAAAATTACAGTTATGAAGTAGCAACGAAAATAATTTTATGGTTGGGGGTTACCACAACATGAGGAACTGTATTAAAGGGTCGCGGCATTAGGAAGGTTGAGAACCACTGTGACCTATATAATAAAAGCCTAATATGCAAATTGTCCCCTCAGGTGGTCGTTCAACCGGGAATTCAACTGCTCACTATGATGTGCGCTGACCACCAGGGGGCGATGTGGAACACAGCAAGCATTGGTGACACGGTGCTGGCAGCAGGCGGCAGTGGAGGTGCTGCCGCCCTGATGGGCCCCTACGAGAGCAGGACCATGGTGGGATGGTGGAGCAGGTGAGAGGGCGGTGCCAGGCCAAGGCGGGGTGCCAAGCGGGGCTGCAGGGCTGGGGGTGGGAGCTGGGCCTGATCTCCACAGGCCACCCCAAGAATTCGTGCACCATGCCTCTAGTCTTCAATAATCTTTTCAACAATGAGCAAGTCTGAGTGGCTATCTATCCAAGGCTTAGTTTTCTTGCCTGTACAATTTCTCACCTGATGGGCCAGCAGAGCTCAAAATTCCTTGCTAGCACAATGCCTTTATCTTTGATCCTATAGCTATGTGCTCTCCAAGGAAGTTAAGAACTCCCAGTGTTATCACACTGGTGCCAGGGAAAAAGCAAAGACCCAGAGAAGGAAAGCTGAGGCAGGAAAAGAATGAGCATCTGTTGACTCATATTCCCACATCCTCCCTTGGCCCCTAGTCCTGAGAAAGAAACAATCCTGGAACGTTGCATGCAGCTCTGCTCAACACAGAAATCAGAGCAACTGGGACCTTGCCACCACCACTCTGCCAGAACGCAGACCAGATTATGCCTGCTGGGAGGTGAAGCCAATGTGGCCTTTGAGGCATAAGAATGTCCTAGAAAGGAAGCATCTCAGGTGCCACTGTTTATGTCAAGAGGGAAGGGGCTTCCAAAGACAAGACAACAATGGTGGACGCCTGCCCTGCTGGTTGGCAAAGCTAGCAAAGCCGTTGAATCATTCAGCTAGATGTGTCCCTGTTGACCAACGGAGAAAAACAGTCCTTCCCTGGCTGGGCCCCAGGCACACTGCTTGATCAGAAATGTTTTCCCTGACGCCACTCAGGTCTCGCTTGGCTGTCTTTGACTTCTGTCCACCTCTGTTCCCTAGAATAGGCTTCTCCTCAGGGCTGAGTATACATCCTCCTCCTCTAATCCTCTTGGCTGTTGCCCCAAGTTCAAAGAAACAATGAACAACATGGATTTCCACTACCTACGAGCACCATGCTGGAAGGAGGGACACAGAGGCATCCTTCCGCAAGGAAACTGCAGGGCGCCTTGCGGTCATCACAACCAGCCCTTGTCTTTCCCTGACCAGCAGCATCAGCAGCTCAGGGATGAGCCTGCCCAGGATCGGCCCACTCTCACCCTCCGCCCACATCCTCTGTAGAGGGGAGAGATCTCAGCCATTGGACTCTAGGGAAATGACAACCTTTTAGTCCGTTACTTTAGCCATGAAATGGTTAAAGTACCTTCTACTTCATGGGTTCTTTCCACGTTGCAGTAAAATGATACATGTGAAGTGCATGGCCTGAAACCTGGTTTTTACTGTTTACTAACTCTTGATTATCTTCCAGACACATCTCTCTTTAGACCAATAAGTTTACAGAGCACTGGCACAACCACACCACCAAAATGCTTGGTGGCTAAGGCCCCAGGCAGAGGGCTCTGATGAGCAGGTAAAACCAGAGGTGGCTGGATCCGTCTATGGACATTCTGGTCAAGGGACTTCCAGCCCAGCCAGAAGGGGACACAGGCAGAGTCCTGGCTCCCTGTGGGCAAGGCGAGGGCTGGGGAGCAGGACTGGTGCTAACTGGGACTGCTGCCCTAACAATTCAAGTGGAAATGCCTCAACACACCCACCAAGTCCCAAGGTCAAAGGCGTCACAATTGGGTCTTTGTTCCTGAGTTCAAAAGCCTCACTCACCACTCCTTCCAAAGCCAGCTTGCAGGGTGCACAGCACACCTCCCCTCTCCCACCATCAGACGCGCAGCTCCCTTGATCTGGGAAACCACCCACCAGAGGATCTGCAGCTTGGCCCTCTTCCTTTCTCCCTCCACCCACTCAGTTTCTCTGGTGAAGCCGGTCTACAGTCCAGGCTGCCTGGCTTTTTTCCCCCACAACCCTCACCCGAGGATATGCTTTCACTGATTTTTAGGGAGAGAAAGAGACACATTGATTGGTTGCCTCCCGTATGTGTCCTGACGGAGGATTGAACCCACAACCTAGACATGTGCCCTGACAGGAAATGGAACCCACACCCTTTTGGTGTGCGGGATGATGCTCCAACCAACTGAGCCATCCAGCCAGGGCCAGGCCTCCTGGTTTTATGGCAACAGAGAGTGTGGGTTTACATGGTAAACACAGCACTGCAAGGTCCCTGTGTAAACATTGGCTGCTGAGCAGCTGTCTCCACCAAGGATAAAGGTACAAAACTTGCAGAGGAGTGGAAAAGCCACATTCCGAAAGGCTCTCCCAGCTGACCCCCAGGGCCCCATGGAGTCTCCCAGCCACGGAGTTCAGACATGGGAGAGGGCTCAGGGAGCTCATCTCCTCTAGGCCCTGGCCCCAAGCAGTCACCAGATTATGTCCAATTTACAGAAGGGACAACTGAGGCCCAGAGGGATCAAGGGACTTGAAGCTACCCAGCCAGGAGCAGGTGGTGGGCTTCCAGGGACAGCAGCTCCCTCAGAGGGTCTGTGTGCCAGACTCGGCTGCTCTGGGGAGTCAGGCTGCCTGAGCCCCCTCAAACAGCCATCTGGACCCCTTAGAAGAGGAGGTGCCTCTAGGCTTTCCCAGATCTAACATAGAACCCCCACTTTGTCAAGGCACTTCCTTCTCCACTCCTAGGCAGGACTCCATGTGTTCCCAGGATCCTAGGTTGATGGGAAGGCAGAGGACACCCTCCCTGAGAATCAGGGCGTCCTGGCCAGTGGCTGGTACCCACTCCTCCTGCTGCTCCAAGGCAGCGAGGTGGCAGAAGGGTCCCTAAGCCAGAACTCTGCTTCTGAGCAGACTTGACCTTATACGGAGAAATGGGCCTGCCTTTCTTTGGAGCAAGCTCCAAAACAAACATCTTTCTCCCCAGCTGGTGTCTCCAGTTCCACCAGCAGAGATCTCCTGCGTTGGGTGCATAGGGTTCCCAGAGCCAGGTCGCGGTGACCATGCAGCCTCCTGGGGGGCAGGAGTTAGGACTGGTACCAGAACAAAGGCTGCAGGCAACGCTGTGCAGGAGGACCCGTGGGGGCACACGGGGTGAGGCCCCAGGCCTTACACTCAGGACGTGGCTCTGCTGAGGGGACCACTGCTGCCATCTACCTTGGTGGTGACTCCAGGCACAAAGGTAGAGCCTGAGGTCTCTGAGAGGGGAACAGGCTTCGAAGACCCCAAACCCAGGAGGGTCAGGCCTACGTTTGGCATCACAGCCTAAGCTCACCTCCCCCAGGCGGTCGGCTGGGATTTCCTTAGCATCTCCACGGCTACTTGCTGCCCACCAGCATAGAAATCAGGGGCCCAGGAACATTCCTGTTCTGTTCTGCTTTTGACCTCAGCTGACTCACTTCCCCTCAGCTTTTCTGTGAGCCAGTTCATCTGTAGGATGGGCACAGTCATCCTTGGGTCTGCCTTCCTTTCAGAGCTCAAAATATCGGGAGGGAAATGAGCAGGGAGGGAAAAGGAGAGCAGGCGCCACCCCTCTGGGAGGATCCTCCACACACAGCCCAGAGAGGCTGCTGTGCACGGGCCTTCCCTCACAGCAAACCGAAACCAAAACACACCCCAGGAACCAACTCAAGTCCCGCAGACCCCGGGCAAGCGGCTGCTCAATGTCCTGGGCCAGAGTCGCCCGCGGTCCTGCAGGGGCCGCACTCAAACTGGACTCCTCTCCCCACCTACTGAGGCTCCTGCCGCTAAGGGCACTGAGGCACTTGGTCCACTTGGAGAGAACCTTGGAACCAGCAGCGCCCTGGACAGCCCTAGACAAGACAAAGCCTCAGCTCCCAGTGACAGGGCGGCTGCTGCAGGACCCTCCCTGGCCCCGGGACCTGGCTTCATCCCTCTGTCTGGGCCTTCTTCCCAGGTCCTGGCAGCCTTCAGCTCGGCAGGGGGCAGTCAGCTCACTGCCCAGACACCAGCCAACCCCCCCAGGCCTGGCCTTTCCTCAGACAACACACCAGGGGCCCAGGACCCTGGACCCACAGTGATGTCATGGCCTGCCTTCCCCCACCCCTGCCTGGACCCTGGCTTCTAGGAAGACCCTACATGGGGAAGCTGCTGTAGGGTGCCTCTGGGCTGGGAGCTACCCTCTCCAGGGACCTCAGAGGACACGGGGACCCTGAACGTGGGGCGATAGCTATACCCACGCTGCCACCTCGGCCTTGCATTAACACAGCCGGTTAATCACCCCGAGCGGTGGACACATTCTTCCACCACCAGGCAAACTGCTGGCCTGCAGCCCAAACCAACAGGGGAAACTTCAGCCTCTTCAGCCCTCTCCCCGCCAGATGGAAATAACGTATAGCTGCAGCGGTGGGGGAGGAGGCAGGGAACAAAACCAGCCGTCCAGTCCACCCGAGGAGCCGGCTGGACCCCCGAGCGGGCGGCCGGGGCACTCACCGCTTTCGTTCTTCTCGATGACATCCACCACCTCCCCGGCCTGGAGGCTCAGCTCCGAGTTCTCCTGCTTCTTATAGTTGGACACCACCACGTACTGTTCCAGGATCATGGGCTCGGCGCTGGTGTCGGCACCTGGCGAGGGCAGAAAGCACGCGGTGAGCCAGCGGCCAGCCATGGCCCCGCGGCCGGGGCGCCCCCTGTCCATCGGCCTCGGGGGAGGCTGCTCTGTCGCCAGCGCCGCTCCGAGGGGCTGCCCGCAGCCAGGGTTCGCAGCTCGCTGGGCCCCAAGGACAGGCCATATAGCAAGGCCCCACACCGGCCCGCTGCACCGCGGGGGCCGGGGGACATGGGGAGCCAGGGGGCGGAGGGAGGGTGGGGGCAGGAGAGAGACAGACAGAGAGGGACAGAGACGGAGGCCAAGGCAACTCAAAGGGAAAGCCTGCTGCTGCGATGAGTTAGTCACAGCCCGGCACGCGGGAGGCAGAGGAGAGGCCTGGGGCGGACGCGGTCTCTCCAGACCCCTCGGCGACAAGGGCGTGAGGGGAGGGCGGCGGGTGGGCGGCCCATGAGGGCTGAAGCCAGAGCGGAGGAGAGAGAGAGAGAGAAAGGCAAGGCGAGGAGGAGGGCTCCTGCCTCTCCCCCGGCCCCTGTAAACCCAGAGAGAGAGAGAGAGTCAGCAGTCCTCCCCTCAGGAGGGAGAGGGAGAGAGCGGGAGAGACGGTCTCCACAGCCCGGGCCCAGGCGAGAAGTCAAGAGGGTTTGAGGCCGCCAATCACTGGGGTTTACTCGCAACCCTTAAATAGAAACACATGAGACCCATCGAATGAGGAGCCGGGGGTGGAGGCAGGGGAGGGGGAGGAGGGCCGAGACTGTTTACTTGAAACCCAAGAAGAAAGCCAGCGGCAGGCCAGCCCAGCCCGCCCCCCCCTCCCCAACTTTTCCTTGAGTTCGGCTCCTGGCCTACCCCTTGGGCTCACCAGGGTGCTGCCACCAAGCCCAGGGCCTGGCACGCACGGAGCAGCCTCAGGCCGGCTCTCCCAGACCTGCTTCCAGAGGGGCACTGGTCTGGCCAGGCTGCTGCCCACCGGCCACATGGAGACTGACTCAGTCTCCCTCAGCCTTGAAGCGCTGGGGCGTGTGGTCAGGCTCCTAGAAGCCTCCAGCTGCCCTCTCCTGGCAGTTTCGTGGAGCTCGAGGGGGTCAAAGGTGGGGCTTAGCAGGAAGGCAGGCTCCCCAGCAGCAAACAACTTCTCTGTCCTCCTCAGCCATTTAGGCAAACATTCATTAAGCAAACACGGAACCAGGAGGTGGACATACTGCGTGCCCACCTCAGTTTACTGGTGTGCGGCACCGGACATGCTGCTGACACCTCTCTGTGCTGCTTCACTATTACCACCACCATCACTGGGGTGGAGGGGGCACAAAACACCTAAGACATTGTATGCCACAAGGAGCTCAGAGGGTCCACAAACCAGAGACCCACTGGCCGCCTCCCACAGGAGGCCCTCCCGAACCTACAGGAATTCCCAGCACCTTCAGCTATGCGTCTACCGCTCTATACAGACGCCAGCCTCCTGGACGGCTGCCGCTGTGCACCACCCGCTGCGAGGCTTCCCAGGCTCCACAGCCCCCTCGGTGCTTCAGCCTGCGGCCACGTTCCCTCTGTGCTTGAGTCCAACCTGCCAACATTCTGTGCCAGGCACGTACGCCGTCCCAAGTTATCCTAACAACCACCTCCTTACCTTCCCATTTCGCAAAAGACAACTCAGAGGCCCAGAGAAGCCAAGAGGCTCGTCCCCACTCACATAGCCGCTGAAGAGAGAACCAAATTCACTGTTTTAGGCTCAAGCCCATTTCTCTTTCCATTACAGGACGGCCTGATTTCTGTTTCCAGGCATCCCATTCTTCTAGCATGGAGATCCTTGACTTGGTCTCACAAAACCGCCCAGGGAGCTTTTAAAGAATACAGATGCCGGGGTCCCACCCCCAGAGACCCAGATTTAAGTGGTCTGGGGTATATTTTAGACACACCTTGGGTCGTTGGTGGCGGAGGATGTGCCCAACCTAGGGCCACAAAAGGGAAAGAAACCCACTGCCCCTGACAGTTTTCTCCCGGGATCCTGCAACTCCAGCTCAGCCCAACGAAGACCCAGAAGGGACCCTAATCCAGGCAACCCCTCCAAAGCCAGGATTGTATTTCAGGCAGAAATGCAACCAACAGCTAGGCAGCAGGGCCAGCCTGGCTCTGTGCTCAGACACGGCCAGCAGGACAGAGGCAGTGCTGGGCACAGTGCTGACAAGAGACTACCTCCCATCGGGCCCCTGGGGGACACCGGTGCTTCTGGGGCTAAGAGCATCCATCACAAAGTGGGGCTCCCTTTCCAGTTTGTGTCAACTCAAGATACAAACAGAAGAGGAGCTAGCTCCCCAGCCGCAGGTTAGAGAGCTTCCAACTCCCGAGAGCACCTGGATCACACCAAGGATTAACCAGGAGCCTCGTTACTGCTCACTCGTGGGCAGCACTATGCCAGGTGCCAACCGCATCATCTCGCTGTCTGATTGGATCCTCGTAACAACCCTATGTGGCAGGTCTTGTTACAGCCCCATTTCACGCACAGGCAGACTGAGGCTCATGAGAGTAAGCACTTTTCCTGAGGTCATATGGCTGGGATTGAATCCAAGCCCACCTAACACTGGTGCTTGTGTTCTGAACGTGTGCGCTGTGCCTGGCCTCCAGAGAGACCCCGACCCCTGGTTTCCAAGGAAGGGCCCGCCTCATCCTGTCCCGGACACCTGGCACACAGTCGGTGCTTAATAAAGACGTTGATTCCTGCTGCATCTATTGAGCAGACCACAGTGTCCACTTAGGGGGCTGGCGCTCAGTAAGTGTTTGTGAAATGAATGAAATGAATGAACAGGCAGACAGATGAACAAAGTGACTTACTGGTTTGTTCTGAGCCAATACAGATACACCAGGCAGGGCCTCGCTTCTGAAATTCGGGGAAACTAGACAACTAAACTGTGGAAGGGAGCAAAGGCACAGAGGAGCAAGTGGTCAGACGCTGCCAGAGAGGACAAGCAGGGGTGCTGGGGAATGGAGAGTCATCAGCTCATTTTAATCGAAGCCAAGGAAACCTGAGACAAGGTTTCAAAGAGGGGAAAAATCTACATACTCCTTCCCCCAGCCCCTTGGAATACTGGCCGGAGCTTCCTGAAGACTGACACTCGGGTACAGGTAGAAAGGGTAAGGAAATGCTCTCTAGACATTCCAGAGCACACAAGACAGGCGGTGGCACTTCTTGGAGGCTACTCCAAAGGCTGGGGGATGGACAGATGGACACACAGACACTGTGCTCCTGGCTGCCCTCCCCCAGCACATGCTGGCTCCCAGCTTGCTCGCTCTGGCAGCTGCCTCTCAGGGTGTTGCCTGCCCAGGGCTGCCCGGGTGGGCGTGAGCTGGGAGCAGGTATCCAGATGAGAAACTACTCGGCAGGCGGGTCGGTGGGTGATGTCATCCCACAGAGGCTGGCTCTCCTCCCAACCAAGGCCTGGAAAATCAGGGGTTGCAGGGCTTGGCCCCAGAGAGGAGGAGAGGCGGTGGAGGGAGACTCCTGTCTTCAGATGCAAAGTGTTTGGCAGAGACTTGGAGGGTGGACCCCTTTGGAGAGGAGAGCCCCTCCCGGTTGGAAGGGGGCTTTGTAAGAGCCTCATCCAGGGATGGGCCCTTGTGCCTTCCCCAGAGCCCTGCCCTACCCTCGCCTCACATCTGCACTCCTCCGACTGCCACCTGGAGGGACCGCTGGCTCCTGCCCGGTCTTGGCTGCCAATTTAAACTTCTTAACAAGGCTTTTGCCAAGTCAACCCCCTGCTCCAGTGGGTCCCTGTGGCTTATAGAAGAAAGGCCAAACTCAAGTTCAGTCTTTCTTGACAATGTGAGCTCCTCAAGTTCCCTGACACACAACCGTCCTGTTCCAGGCAACATTCATCATTCCACACACGTGCCTCGGGCATCGCTCTGTGCCAGCCACACTGCTCTACGCAGGTTCTTCCTTCCAAGCCTTTGCTGTAGCTGTCCCGGTCCCCCCTTCCCCTGCCCCTCACCCCCCGCCTGGAATGCCCTTCTTCCTACCAACCCCGATGCTCCCCAACCATCTCTGCCTCCAGGAGTCGCCCGATCGCTCTCGCCGTAGTGCTTGCTCCTGTCCTGCACTGAATCTTTTGTGTGACATGTGGCCCAACCAGACCTCGTGCTTCAGACAAAAGTCTCTCTGTTGAGAGTCGATGCCCCAGGACGGGTGCCATACGACACGGCACTGGACACAATAATTACCCGAGATTTATGACACAAAAGCATAAGGAATCTAAGGGTCTGAGGTCCAGTCCTGCCTTGCCCCTACTGGCTCTGTAACCCCGGGGAGGACACTTAAGCTCTCTGAGCTTTAACTTCCTCATCTGTAAACAGACACAGAAACAGTACCTGTCCCATGGGGTTGCTCCGGGCATGACATAAGGTGACAGGGTTAATGCCCTATGTAAACTGTAAACAGTGCTTATAAAGCAAACAGAAGTGGGAAATTGGGGGAGGAGCAGGAAGGGTTTAGGTTCCTTGGCAGCCTCAGAACCAGCAGGCAGCTCAGAGCAAGGGCCACAGGGGCCAGGAGAAGGGTGGCCGAGGCTGCGTCTCTGCAAACGTGACCCTCTGGGACTGGCCTCTCGGCAGGCCACAGGCCCTGTAGAGCCGGATCAGGGCCTCCAGGCCCACTCTGGGGGGATACCAGGCGAAGCAACCCGAAGACCTTACCTCCCGCTGAGTTTTCTGTCTCATCAAACACTCCCACATTCCAGGTGGGGAAACCAAGCCCAGAGAGACCTGGCGACCTACCCAGGATTCTGACCCTGGATTCCAGTCTGGCTGGTCTCCCCACCCCCCCACCCCCCGCCCACCACAGCCTCTCTCTCCCAACAGCTGGGCTCACTCTAAGAAGCCAAGCCTTGTGGTGGCCCCTGCCCCAAGCTCCCCAAACTCTCCATGGCCCCCCCAAACCCTGGACATCCTACCAAGGTCCCTCCAGTCCCTCCCCTCACCACTGGTTCCTCCCAGCCGGACTCGGCCTGCGGCTTCTCCACAGGCCCTCGGGCGGCCAGGCTATACGTTTGGTGAATAAAATGTATTGTTGTGGGCCAAGTGGGCTCGGGCTCACTGGCTCGAGGAGAGGGGAAAAAGGGACAGGAGCCCAGTGATTAGCTCAGGCCCAGGCCCTCGTCACAGGCAACACCAGGAGGATGACTGCAAGGGGCTTGGGACAGGCGAGGGGCCCTCCTGACTGCTGCCTTCCCCTTGGGTCCCCCCTCACAGATGTCCACCTCCTATTCCCTGCCCACAGCTGTGGAGGGAGGGGCTGAGCCTGGGGCTCTGACCCCTGGGGCTGGCCCAGCTCCCTCTGACCTCTGACCCTCTGCCTGTTCCACGATCTCCAAGCCTGAACCTCTGCTCTCAGGTTTGGGCCGAGGAAGCGGAGGATGAGGAAGGGGGGGAGGTGTAAGGGGAAATTGGGGGGAGTGTCAGGTAGCACTCTCAGAAATGGAGGGGCTCCTGGAAAAGCCTTCTGCAAATCCCACCCTC